CCACCACTAGTATACATGGCTACCACCACTAGTATACATGGCTACCACTAGTATACATGGCTACCACCACTAGTATACATGGCTACCACCACTAGTATACATGGCTACCACTAGTATACATGGCTACCACCACTAGTATACATGGCTACCACTAGTATACACGGCTACCACCACTAGTATACATGGCTACCACTAGTATACACGGCTACCACCACTAGTATACACGGCTACCACCACTAGTATACATGACTACCACCACTAGTATACATGGCTACCACCACTAGTATACATGGCTACCACCACTAGTATACATGGCTACCACCACTAGTATACATGGCTACCACCACTAGTATACATGGCTACCACCACTAGTATACATGGCTACCACCACTAGTATACATGGCTACCACCACTAGTATACATGGCTACCACCACTAGTATACATGGCTACCACCACTAGTATACATGGCTACCACCACTAGGGTACATGGCTACCACTAGTATACATGGCTACCACCACTAGTATACATGGCTACCACCACTAGTATACATGGCTACCACCACTAGTATACATGGCTACCACTAGTATACATGGCTACCACCACTAGTATACATGGCTACCACCACTAGTATACATGGCTACCACCACTAGTATACATGGCTACTACCACTAGTATACATGGCTACCACTAGTATACATGGCTACCCCACTAGTATACATGGCTACCACCACTAGTATACATGGCTACCACCACTAGTATTAATGGCTACCACCACTAGTATACATGGCTACCACCACTAGTATACATGGCTACCACCACTAGTATACATGGCTACCACCACTAGTATACATGGCTACCACCACTAGTATACATGACTACCACCACTAGTATACATGGCTACCACCACTAGTATACATGGCTACCACCACTAGTATACATGGCTACCACTAGTATACATGGCTACTACCACTAGTATACATGGCTACCACCACTAGTATACATGGCTACCACTAGTATACATGGCTACCACCACTAGTATACATGGCTACCACCACTAGTATACATGGCTACCACCACTAGTATTAATGGCTACCACCACTAGTATACATGGCTACCACCACTAGTATACATGGCTACCACTAGTATACATGGCTACCACCACTAGTATACATGGCTACCACCACTAGTATACATGGATACCACCACTAGTATACATGGCTACCACCACTAGTATACATGGCTACCACCACTAGTATACATGGCTACTACCACTAGTATACATGGCTACCACCACTAGTATACATGGCTACCACCACTAGTATACATGGCTACCGCTAGTATACATGGCTACCACCACTAGTATACATGGCTACCACCACTAGTATACATGGCTACCACCACTAGTATACATGACTACCACCACTAGTATACATGGCTACCACCACTAGTATACATGGCTACCACCACTAGTATACATGGCTACCACCACTAGTATTAATGGCTACCACCACTAGTATACATGGCTACCACCACTAGTATACATGGCTACCACCACTAGTATACATGGCTACCACCACTAGTATACATGGCTACCACCACTAGTATACTTGGCTACCACCACTAGTATACATGGCTACCACCACTAGTATACATGGCTACCACCACTAGTATACATGACTACCACCACTAGTATACATGGCTACCACCACTAGTATACATGGCTACCACCACTAGTAATAATGAATATAATAATAATAATAATAATTAGTCATTTAGCAGACGCTCTTATCCAGAGCGACTTACAGGAGCAATTAGGGTTAAGTGCCTTGCTCAAGGGCACATCGACAGATTTTTCACCTAGTCGGCTCGGGGATTAGAACCAGCGACCTTTCGGTTACTGGCACAACGCTCTTAACCACTAAGCTACCTGCCGCCCATGGCTACCACCACTAGTATACATGGCTACCACTAGTATACATGGCTACCACCACTAGTATACATGACTACCACCACTAGTATACATGGCTACCACTAGTATACATGGCTACCACTAGTATACATGGCTACCACCACTAGTATACTTGGCTACCACCACTAGTATACATGGCTACCACCACTAGTATACATGGCTACCACCACTAGTATACATGGCTACCACTAGTATACACGGCTACCACCACTAGTATACATGGCTACCACCACTAGTATACATGACTACCACCACTAGTATACACGGCTACTACCACTAGTATACATGGCTACCACCACTAGTATACATGGCTACCACCACTAGTATACATGGCTACCACCACTAGTATACATGGCTACCACCACTAGTATACATGGCTACCACCACTAGTATACATGGCTACCACCACTAGTATACACGGCTACCACCACTAGTATACATGGCTACCACCACTAGTATACATGGCTACCACCACTAGTATACATGGCTACCACCACTAGTATACATGGCTACCACCACTAGTATACATGGCTACCACTAGTATACATGGCTACTACCACTAGTATACATGGCTACCACTAGTATACATGGCTACCGCTAGTATACATGGCTACCACCACTAGTATACATGGCTACCACCACTAGTATACATGGCTACCACCACTAGTATACATGGCTACCACCACTAGTATACATGGCTACCACCACTAGTATACATGGCTACCGCTAGTATACATGGCTACCACCACTAGTATACATGGCTACCACCACTAGTATACATGGCTACCACCACTAGTATACATGGCTACCACCACTAGTATACATGGCTACCGCTAGTATACATGGCTACCACCACTAGTATACATGGCTACCACCACTAGTATACATGGCTACCACCACTAGTATACATGGCTACCACCACTAGTATACACGGCTACCACTAGTATACATGGCTACCACTAGTATACATGGCTACCACCACTAGTATACATGGCTACCACTAGTATACATGGCTACCACCACTAGTATACATGGGCTACCACCACAAGTATACATGGCTACCACCACTAGTATACACGGCTACCACCACTAGTATACATGGCTACCACCACTAGTATACATGGCTACCACCACTAGTATACATGGCTACTACCACTAGTATACATGGCTACCACTAGTATACATGGCTACTACCACTAGTATACATGGCTACCACTAGTATACATGGCTACCGCTAGTATACATGGCTACCACCACTAGTATACATGGCTACCACCACTAGTATACATGGCTACCACCACTAGTATACATGGCTACCACCACTAGTATACATGGCTACCACCACTAGTATACATGGCTACCACCACTAGTATACATGGCTACCACTAGTATGCATGACTACCACCACTAGTATACACGGCTACCACTAGTATACATGGCTACCACCACTAGTATACATGGCTACCACCACTAGTATACATGGCTACCACCACTAGTATACATGGCTACCACCACTAGTATACATGGCTACCACCACTAGTATACACGGCTACCACCACTAGTATACACGGCTACCACTAGTATACATGGCTACCACCACTAGTATACATGGCTACCACTAGTATACATGACTACCACCACTAGTATACACGGCTACCACCACTAGTATACATGGCTACCACTAGTATACATGGCTACCACCACTAGTATACATGGCTACCACCACTAGTATACACGGCTACCACCACTAGTATACATGGCTACCACCACTAGTATACATGGCTACCACCACTAGTATACATGGCTACCACCACTAGTATACACGGCTACCACTAGTATACATGGCTACCACCACTAGTATACATGGCTACCACCACTAGTATACATGACTACCACCACTAGTATACACGGCTACCACCACTAGTATACATGGCTACCACTAGTATACATGGCTACCACCACTAGTATACATGGCTACCACCACTAGTATACATGGCTACCACTAGTATACATGGCTACCACCACTAGTATACATGGCTACCACCACTAGTATACACGGCTACCACTAGTATACATGGCTACCACCACTAGTATACATGGCTACCACTAGTATACATGGCTACCACCACTAGTATACATGGCTACCACCACTAGTATACACGGCTACCACTAGTATACATGGCTACCACCACTAGTATACATGGCTACCACTAGTATACATGACTACCACCACTAGTATACACGGCTACCACCACTAGTATACATGGCTACCACTAGTATACATGGCTACTACCACTAGTATACATGGCTACCACCACTAGTATACATGGCTACCACCACTAGTATACATGGCTACCACCACTAGTATACATGGCTACCACCACTAGTATACATGGCTACCACCACTAGTATACATGGCTACTACCACTAGTATACATGGCTACCACCACTAGTATACATGGCTACCACCACTAGTATACATGGCTACCACCACTAGTATACATGGCTACTACCACTAGTATACATGGCTACCACCACTAGTATACATGGCTACCACCACTAGTATACATGGCTACCACCACTAGTATACATGGCTACCACCACTAGTATACATGGCTACCACCCTATACATGCATGGCTACCACTAGTATACATGGCTACCACTAGTATACATGGCTACTACCACTAGTATACATGGCTACCACTAGTATACATGGCTACCGCTAGTATACATGGCTACCACCACTAGTATACATGGCTACCACCACTAGTATACATGGCTACCACCACTAGTATACATGGCTACTACCACTAGTATACATGGCTACCACCACTAGTATACATGGCTACCCACCACTAGTATACATGGCTACCGCTAGTATACATGGCTACCACCACTAGTATACATGGCTACCACCACTAGTATACATGGCTACCACCACTAGTATACATGGCTACCACCACTAGTATACATGGCTACCGCTAGTATACATGGCTACCACCACTAGTATACATGGCTACCACCACTAGTACACATGGCTACCACCACTAGTATACATGGCTACCACCACTAGTATACACGGCTACCACTAGTATACATGGCTACCACTAGTATACATGGCTACCACCACTAGTATACATGGCTACCACTAGTATACATGGCTACCACCACTAGTATACATGGCTACCACCACAAGTATACATGGCTACCACCACTAGTATACACGGCTACCACCACTAGTATACATGGCTACCACCACTAGTATACATGGCTACCACCACTAGTATACATGGCTACTACCACTAGTATACATGGCTACCACTAGTATACATGGCTACTACCACTAGTATACATGGCTACCACTAGTATACATGGCTACCGCTAGTATACATGGCTACCACCACTAGTATACATGGCTACCACCACTAGTATACATGGCTACCACCACTAGTATACATGGCTACCACCACTAGTATACATGGCTACCACCACTAGTATACATGGCTACCACCACTAGTATACATGGCTACCACTAGTATGCATGACTACCACCACTAGTATACACGGCTACCACTAGTATACATGGCTACCACCACTAGTATACATGGCTACCACCACTAGTATACATGGCTACCACCACTAGTATACATGGCTACCACCACTAGTATACACGGCTACCACTAGTATACATGGCTACCACCACTAGTATACATGGCTACCACTAGTATACATGACTACCACCACTAGTATACACGGCTACCACCACTAGTATACATGGCTACCACTAGTATACATGGCTACCACCACTAGTATACATGGCTACCACCACTAGTATACACGGCTACCACCACTAGTATACATGGCTACCACCACTAGTATACATGGCTACCACCACTAGTATACATGGCTACCACCACTAGTATACACGGCTACCACTAGTATACATGCTACCACCACTAGTATACATGGCTACCACCACTAGTATACATGACTACCACCACTAGTATACACGGCTACCACCACTAGTATACATGGCTACCACTAGTATACATGGCTACCACCACTAGTATACATGGCTACCACCACTAGTATACATGGCTACCACTAGTATACATGGCTACCACCACTAGTATACATGGCTACCACCACTAGTATACACGGCTACCACTAGTATACATGGCTACCACCACTAGTATACATGGCTACCACTAGTATACATGGCTACCACCACTAGTATACATGGCTACCACCACTAGTATACACGGCTACCACTAGTATACATGGCTACCACCACTAGTATACATGGCTACCACTAGTATACATGACTACCACCACTAGTATACACGGCTACCACCACTAGTATACATGGCTACCACTAGTATACACGGCTACCACCACTAGTATACACCACACATATAGACACGTTTAAGGCCTCATATTGGAGATCGTCCCATTGGCTACCACCACTAGTATACATGGCTACTACCACTAGTATACATGGCTACCACCACTAGTATACATGACTACCACCACTAGTATACACGGCTACCACTAGTATACATGGCTACCACCACTAGTATACATGACTACCACCACTAGTATACACGGCTACCACTAGTATACATGGCTACCACCACTAGTATACATGGCTACCACCACTAGTATACACGGCTACCACTAGTATACATGGCTACCACCACTAGTATACATGGCTACTACCACTAGTATACATGGCTACCACCACTAGTATACATGACTACCACCACTAGTATACACGGCTACCACTAGTATACATGGCTACCACCACTAGTATACATGGCTACCACCACTAGTATACATGACTACCACCACTAGTATACACGGCTACCACCACTAGTATACATGGCTACCACTAGTATACATGGCTACCACCACTAGTATACATGGCTACCACCACTAGTATACATGGCTACCACCACTAGTATACACGGCTACCACTAGTATACATGGCTACCACCACTAGTATACATGGCTACCACTAGTATACATGACTACCACCACTAGTATACACGGCTACCACCACTAGTATACATGGCTACCACTAGTATACATGGCTACCACTAGTATACATGACTACCACCACAAGTATACATGGCTACCACCACTAGTATACACGGCTACCACCACTAGTATACACGGCTACCACTAGTATACATGGCTACCACCACTAGTATACATGGCTACTACCACTAGTATACATGGCTACCACCACTAGTATACATGACTACCACCACTAGTATACACGGCTACCACTAGTATACATGGCTACCACCACTAGTATACATGGCTACCACCACTAGTATACATGACTACCACCACTAGTATACACGGCTACCACCACTAGTATACATGGCTACCACTAGTATACATGGCTACCACCACTAGTATACATGGCTACCACCACTAGTATACATGGCTACCACCACTAGTATACACGGCTACCACTAGTATACATGGCTACCACCACTAGTATACATGGCTACCACTAGTATACATGACTACCACCACTAGTATACACGGCTACCACCACTAGTATACATGGCTACCACTAGTATACATGGCTACCACTAGTATACATGACTACCACCACAAGTATACATGGCTACCACCACTAGTATGCATGGCTACCACCACTAGTATACATGGCTACCACCACTAGTATACATGACTACCACCACTAGTATACATGGCTACCACCACTAGTATACATGGCTACCACCACTAGTATACATGGCTACCACTAGTATACACGGCTACCACTAGTATACATGGCTACCACCACTAGTATACATGACTACCACCACTAGTATACATGGCTACCACCACTAGTATACATGGCTACCACCACTAGTATACATGGCTACCACTAGTATACATGGCTACCACCACTAGTATACATGGCTACCACCACTAGTATACATGGCTACCACCACTAGTATACATGGCTACCACCACTAGTATACATGGCTACCAATACTAGTATACATGGCTACCACCACTAGTATACATGGCTACCACCACTAGTATACATGGCTACCACCACTAGTATACATGGCTACCACCACTAGTATACATGACTACCACCACTAGTATACATGGCTACCACTAGTATGCATGACTACCACCACTAGTATACATGGCTACCACCACTAGTATACATAGCTACCACCACTAGTATACATGGCTACCACCACTAGTATACATGGCTACCACCACTAGTATACATGACTACCACCACTAGTATACATGGCTACCACCACTAGTATACACGGCTACCACCACTAGTATACATGGCTACCACCACTAGTATACATGACTACCACCACTAGTATACATGGCTACCACCACTAGTATACATGGCTACCACCACTAGTATACATGGCTACCACTAGTATACATGGCTACCACCACTAGTATACATGACTACCACCATTAGTATACTTGGCTACCACCACTAGTATACATGGCTACCACCACTAGTATACATGGCTACCACCACTAGTATACATGGCTACCACCACTAGTATACATGGCTACCACCACTAGTATACATGGCTACCACCACTAGTATACATGGCTACCACTAGTATGCATGACTACCACCACTAGTATACATGGCTACCACCACTAGAATACACCACACATATAGACACGTTTAAGGCCTCATATTGGAGATCGTCCCATTGGCTACCATTGGTTTATGGGTCAGCTTGTAACCTGTAATCAATTACCCAATCCTATAAGTGAGTACTATTTTCATAGTATGTTAAAAACAATACATATACGCCGTTAAGCCAATCATACTTCATGACTGTTGCCTCCCGTTTCAGTTTAATGTGATGGTAATCGTTTGTTTAATGATAATTATTAGGTGGTGGTCACTAGCTGCAATGTAGCCTAGCTTTTAGCTGGTTAGCTAGCTGCTCTGTAAGATAGCTTGACTTGCTAAAAAGTTATAGAAATAAGTTGAGGAAAAAGTGATTAAACTGAACATGTTTTATTATCAACTGAAACAATAGAGTTGAAGTCGGAAGTTTACATACACCTTAGCCAAATACATTTAAACTCAGTTTTTCCACAATTCCTGACATTTAATCCTAGTAAAAATTCCCTGTTTTAGGTCAGTTAGGATCACCACTTCATTTTAAGAATGTGAAATGTCAGAATAATAGTAGAGAGAATGATGTATTTCAGCTTTTATTTCTTTCATCACATTCCCAGTGGGTCAGAAGTTTACATACACTCAATTAGTTTTTGGTAGCATTGCCTTTAAATTGTTTAACTTGGGTCAAACATGTCGGGTAGCCTTCCACAAGCTTCCCACAATAAGTTGGGTGAATTTTGGACCATTCCTCCTGACAGAGCTGGTGTAACTGAATCAGGTTTGTAGGCCTCCTTGCTCGCACACGCTTTTTCAGTTCTGCCCACAAATGTTCTATAGGATTGAGGTCAGGGCTTTGTGATGGCCACTCCAAAACCTTGACTTTGGAAGACCATTTGTGACCAAGCTTTAACTTCCTGACTGATGTCTTGAGATGTTGCTTCAATATATCCACATAATTTTCCTTCCTCATGATGCCATCTATTTTGTGAAGTGCACCAGTCCCTCCTGCAGCAAAGGACCCCCACAGCATGATGCTGCCACCCCCGTGCTTCACGGTTGGGATGGTGTTCTTTGGCTTGCAAGCCACCCCCTTTTCCTCCAAACATAACAATGGTCATTATGGCCATAAAGTTATATTTTTGTTTCATCAGACCAGAGGACATTTCTCCAAAAAGTATGATCTTTGTCCCCATGTGCAGTTGCAAACCGTATTCTGGCTTTTTTATGGCGGTTTTGGAGCAGTGGCTTCTTCCTTGCTGAGCGGCCTTTCAGGTTATGTTGATATAGGACTCGTTTTACTGTGGATATAGATACTTTTGTACCTGTTTCCTCCAGCATCTTCACAAGGTCCTTTGCTGTTGTTCTGGGATTGATTTGCACTTGTCGCACCAAAGTACGTTCATCTCTAGGAGACAGAACGCGTCTCCTTCCTGAGCGGTATGACGGCTGCGTGGTCCCGTGGTGTTTACACTTGCGTACTATTGTTTGTACAGATGAACGTGGTACCTTCAGGCATTTGGAAATTGCTCCCAAGGATGAACCAGACTTGTAGAGGTCTACAATATTATTTCTAAGGTCTTGGCTGATTTCTTTTGATTTTCCAATGATGTCAAGCAAAGATGCACTGAGTTCGAAGGTAGGCCTTGAAATACATCCACAGGTACACCTCCAATTGACTCTAATGATGTAAATTAGCCTATCAGAAGCTTCTAAAGCCATGACTTCATTGTCCTGAATTTTCCAAGCTATTTAAAGGCACAATCAACTTAGTGTATGTAAACTTCTGACCCACTGGAATTGTGATACAGTGAATTATAAGTGAAATAATCTGTCTGTAAACAATTGTTGGAAAAATTACTTGTGTCATGCACAAAGTAGATGTCCTAACAGACTTACCAAAACTATAGTTTGTTAACAAGACATTTGTGGAGTGGTTGAAAAACGAGTTTTAATGACTCCAACCTAAGTGTATGTAAACTTCCGACTTCAACTGTATGTTTCTCCTGTCTTGAATGAAAAAGTCATATTTTGTAATCTCCCAAAATGAAACCCTATTCTAAACTCTCTGTCCAGTAGCGGAACGAGATTGCATGAAGTTGATGTACAGTTTAATGAAATACTTCATAACGTAAACGGGGCATCAGACCAAAAATGTGTATATTTAAACAATCACATCAGACTGACTGACATATGTAGTAGTGATGGGCGTCTTCCACGTCTTTCCGGCTCCATTCCCGTAAAAGAGCAGGCTCATTCATTCAAAACGCTTAAAAATGTATCCAGGCTAGAACCACAGAGTTTCTAAACCCAGAGGCGCAACATCGCAAGACTTCCTGGAAAGCTAGCGAAGCAGACAGGGCCGGTGTTTCGGGTTAGAGAAGTCAATGAGAGAAGTGTAACGTTCTTCCTTAGTTGTTAATGTTTCTCGAAATCTAAAGGCACAACCTAGATTCGAGCCCACGTCTTAATTAGTTGAATATGTTATTACTCCAACCTCATGAAAGTGACAAACTGACATGTTTTCATTTTCGTAAAAAAAAAAAAAAAAAAACGTTATATTGAAGGCGTGCCTTTGATTTGACAGCATGCACATGCACAGTTCAGCCATTTGACCCGATTATGAGTTTCTGTGCATGAGTTTAGCTAGCCAACGTCGCCGTGACATCGCCTACACGCTTGTGATCCGGTTTCTATTGGAGAACAGTTTCTCCCTATCTTCATACTGTACTGCAGGGTTCTTCAATTCCGGTCCTGGAGGGCCGAAACACCTCTGGTTTCCATCCTCTCCTTCTAATCAGGGGCTAATTCAGACCTGGGACACCAGGTGAGTGCAATTAACTACCAGGTAGAAATAAAAAACAGAAGGGTTTCGGCCCTCCGGGACCGGAATTGAAGAACCCTGCTGTACTGTCTTTGCTAGAACCATGAAAAAATCCGTGTTCAAATACATTTTTATACCTGTCCAAATTATTAGATCATCTATTTTTAATGCACTGCAAAAATGAGCCTCTCCCCACTATTTATTGTTTCTGCAGTGAAGATTCACCCTCTTTAGATAATTATTTAGTAATTGATCTGCATATAATCGTTGTTTTGAGCTCAAAAAGATGTAGGCTAGTATGAAAATCAGGGAGCTCTTTCACCGATGTGATTCGCTTCCCGACGTTCATCAAGAAGTTCCGTTCAAAAAGAGCCCTTCGTTCACGAACGACCCATCACTAATCTGTAGCAAACATATTGTGCTTTAAAGACAACTGGGAACTCAGGGGGGGGGGGAAACGAGGTCAAAGCATGAGGTCAGTGATCGATCAGGTCGGAAAGAGCTCTAGAAAGAGACCCGAGTTCTCGACTTGGATGACCTGTTCTATACGATTTTCCCCAATCGGAGCTCGTTTTTTTTCCCGAGTTCCCATTTGTCTTGAAAGAACTGAAGTCGGAGAATTACAAGTTCCCAGTTGTTTTTGATGACGGCTACAGAGCAGCGGAAGATTTCAGTTTGAGTCGTCAGGCAATATTATTGCACACCAGCCATCGGGGTTAGGAAAGCGGCAGCTCTGTCTGTCTGCCGCTTCCTGGTTCTGCTGGCGACATTGTGACGGTCAGTGAGTGAGTCAGAAGAACAGCAGCTCGTACGTTCACTCTCGGAAGACAAGGTAAGGAGCATGTCCTTTTTATGATATTGGAATTTTAGGCCGCAACTAATCAAATTTTAGGCAAAATCGCGCTTTTCGGGAAACTGCGGGTGAAACGACTGGCTACTTTCAGTGCAGTAAACGAGATGTCGACACAACACTTGAGTTGCGAGAATAGATATGTCGCCTAGCTACCGGGTTTCTGTCTGGAAGGGAACGGAATAGGCTACGGAGATTTACTACATAGAGAAATGACCACCGGCCGCAGGTGTCTTCTCGCACTGTGGGTCGCCTACTGCCTATGTCTTATCGCACTGTGGGTCGCCTACTGCCTATGTCTTATCGCACTGTGGGTCGCCTACTGCCTATGTCTTATCGCACTGTGGGTCGCCTACTGCCTATGTCTTATCGCACTGTGGGTCGCCTACTGCCTATGTCTTATCGCACTGTGGGTCGCCTACTGCCTATGTCTTATCGCACTGTGGGTCGCCTACTGCCTATGTCTTATCGCACTGTGGGTCGGCCTACTGCCTATGTCTTATCGCACTGTGGGTCGCCTACTGCCTATGTCTTATCGTACTGTGGGTCGCCTACTGCCTATGTCTTATCGCACTGTGGGTCGCCTACTGCCTATGTCCGCGCGTAAAGCATGTTTTTGATTTGGTCAGCATTTACCACAAATACAAAGTAGGAACATGTCTTTAGACTAGCCTGGAACTTGACTATGTAAATTACTGCGGTTGTATAAATAGAAGCGGTCAGCAAAGATAAAGTATGAAAGAAGTTTGAGGGAGATAACGTTCACTGAAAGCGCCACACTACACACAATACACGCTTGTCCTTATTCCAGAAAGTCCACCAGATTTGTAGTGCATTCTGAAAGTATTCATACCCCTTCTTTTTTTTACCCCGTTTTTGTTACGTTACAGCCTTATTCTAAAATGGATAAAATAAATCGTGTTCCCTCAATATACACACAATACCCCATAATGACAAAGCGAAAACTTTTTTTTTTATATAGAAAAAACGGAAATACCTTATTTACATAAGTATTCAGACCCTTTGCTATGAGACTGGAAATTGAGCTCAGGTGCATCCTGTTTCCATTGATCATCCTTGAGATGTTTCTACAACTTGATTGTAGTCCATCTGTGGTAAATTCAGTTTATTGGACATGATTTGGAAAGGCACACACCTGTCTATATAAGGTCCCACAGTTGACAGTGCATGTCAGAGTAAAAACCAAGCAATGAGGTCGAAGGAATTGTCCATAGAGCTCCGAGATCGGATTGTGTCGAGGCACAGATCTGGGGAAGGTTACCAAAACATGTCTGCAGCATTGGAGGTCCCCAAGAACACAGTGGCCTCCATCATTCTTAAATGGAAGAAGTTTGGAACCTCCAAGACTCTTCCTAGAGCTGGCCGCCCGGACAAACTGAGCAATCGGGGGAGAAGGGCCTTGGTCAGGGAGGTGACCAAAAACCTGATGGTCACTCTGACAGAGCTCCAGAGTTCCTCTGTGGAGATGGGAGAACCTTCCAGAAGGACAACCATCTCTGCAGCACTCCACCAATCAGGCCTTTATGATAGAGTGGCCAGACGGAAGCCACTCCTCAGTAAAAGGCACATGACAGCCCGCCAGGAGTTTGCCAAAAGGTACGTAAAAGACTACCAGACCATGAGAAACAAGATTCTCTGGTCTGGATGAAACCAAGATTGAACTCTTTGGCCTGAATGCCAGCCTCACGTCTAGAGGAAAACGTGAAACCAATCCCTACAATGAAACCTGGTGGTTGGCAGCACTAAAAACAACCCTACACACAACCAAAAACTACCGACACACACAAAACACAACAAAAAAACGGTGACAGTACAAACACACCAAACAACAACACACCCAAACACACACACTACTACAAACACTACACACCCTATACAACACACACACACACACACTACCTACACACAACACACCAACACACACACACACAACACACACACACTACCTACACACACACACACACACCACTACCTACACACACACACACACAAACACACACACATACCCACACACCACACACTACACACACACAACGACCACACACACACCACACACACACACAAACAACTACCTCACACACACACCACACACACACCTACACACACAACCACACACACCACAACACACACTACACAACAACACACACACACACACCACTACCTACACACACACAACACACTACTAACACCCATCACACACTACACACACACACACACATACCCACCAACACACTACCTACACACCACACACACACTACCTACACACACACACACCCACACCACACCACACACACACACACCACACACACACACACCTACTACACACACACACACACACAACACTACCTCACACACCACGCACACCCACTACCTACACACACACCACTACACACACACACCACCACTACCTAACCACACACCACACTACCACACCACCACTACACAACACCCACACTACCACGCACACAACACACACACACCTACCTACACACACCACACCACACACCACTACCTACACCACTCCACACACACACCTGCTCCCACACTACACGGCGCTCCCACATCTACAGGCGTCCCCACACTACACTGCTCCCACTCATCTACAGCTAGACTCCCACACACACCCACACTACACTTACCTACACCACACACACTCACTCCACACTACAGCTGTCCCACTATCCACAGGCGTCCCCACTATCTACAGGCGTCTCCCACTACTACAAGCGCCCACACACAGGCTTTCCCCACTACCTACAGCACTTTACTACCACACCTACATAGCGACCTCCAACACTACCTGCTACAGCTTGTCCTCCCCACTACTACAGGCTTGTCACCTCCACACACAGGCTTCCCCACTACTACAGGCTTGTCTCCCACTACCTACAGGCTTGTCTCCCACTACCTACAGGCTTGTCTCCCACTATCTACAGGCTTGTCTCCCCCTATCTACAGGCTTGTCTCCCACTATCTACAGGCTTGTCTCCCACTATCTACAGGCTTGTCTCCCACATCTACAGGCTTGTCTCCCACTATCTACAGGCTTGTCTCCCACTATCTACAGGCTTGTCTCCCACTATCTACAGGCTTGTCTCCCACTATCTACAGGCTTGTCTCCCACTATCTACAGGCTTGTCTCCCACTATCTACAGGCTTGTCTCCCACTACCTACAGGCTTGTCTCCCACTATCTCAGGCTTGCCCTCCCACTACCCTACAGGCTTGTCTCCCACAAATCTAACGGGCTTGTCTCCCACTACCTACAGGCTTGTCTCCCACTACCTACAGGCTTGTTTTCCCACTATCTACAGGCTTGTCTCCCACTATCTACAGGCTTGTCTCCCACTTGAATGTTCTCGTTGAGCCAGACTGGGTTGAACCTCTGTTTCATTGTTCAGGATGTAATTATTGATATATTTTTACAGCTCTAGGGAAATAATGATTCCTTGGATAACGTTATTTACTATGTATTGATTATTATTGTATTTATGTGGTGCACAGCACAGAACACCAAGAATTATCACAGTCAATTATTGTGATGTTTGTTTGTGTCAATCAATCCCTTAAGGGATGGGTTGCCAAATGTCCATTTAATTCATTCTCTGCAACTGAGAGCTATAGTCGACCATCTTGGCTCCCTGTTACACTGACCTCTATTGATCCCTGAGAGCCACTGTTGAGCCGTCAGGGCCGCCTCGTTGCCTGCTGTCATGGGGAAGATGTCTTCCTGGAAGGTCTTCGGGGACTGGAGAGAGGACATAAAACAGTTTCTCTCACTCACTCACTCACTCACTCACTCACTCACTCACTCACTCACTCACTCACTCACTCACTCACTCACTCACTCACACACACACACATTGTCAAGCATGAGTAGGTCAGCGTGCATCTGAAACCAAGTCAGCCCCTCTGAGAATACACTGTACAGCATACTGGACTACTCGTGTGTGTATGGATACTATCAGTTTGTTTTTAGGGGAATGGAACATCCTGTGGTGGCTTTGGATACATATACAGTGCATTCGGAAAGTATTTAGACCCCTTGACTTTAAACTTGGATTAAATTGTGTTTTTTCCCCTCATCAATCTACACACAACACCCCATAATGACAAAGCAAAAACAGATTTTTAGAAATTGTTGCAAATGTATAAAAAATTAACTGAAATCACATTTACATAAGTATTCAGGCCCTTTACTCAGTACTTTGTTGAAGCACCCTTGGCAGCGATTACTGCCTCGAGTCTTCTTGGGTATGACGCTACAAGCTTGGCACACCTGTATTTGGGGAGTTTCTCCCATTCTTCTCTGCAGATCCTCTCAAGCTCTGTCAGGTTGGATGGGGAGCGTCGCTGCACAGCTATTTTCAGGTCTCTCCAGAAATGTTCGATCGGGTTCAAGTCCGGGCTCTGGCTGGGCCACTCAAGGACATTCAGAGACTTGTCCCGAAGCCACTCCTGCGATGTCTTGGCTGTGTGCTTAGGGTCGTTGTCCTGTTTACCCCAGTCTGAGGTCCCGAGCGCTCTGGAGCTCTATAAGGGAGGGTAAAGGATGTATTTACAGTGGGGGAAAAAAGTATTTAGTCAGCCACCAATTGTGCAAGTTCTCCCACTTAAAAAGATGAGAGAGGCCTGTAATTTTAATCATAGGTACACGTCAACTATGACAGACAAAATGAGGAAAAAAAATCCAGAAAATCACATTGTAGGATTTTTTATGAATTTATTTGCAAATTATGGTGGAAAATAAGTATTTGGTCAATAACAAAAGTTTCTCAATACTTTGTTATATAGCCTTTGTTGGCAATGACACAGGTCAAATGTTTTCTGTAAGTCTTCACAAGGTTTTCACACACTGTTGCTGGTATTTTGGCCCATTCCTCCATGCAGATCTCCTCTAGAGCAGTGATGTTTTGGGGCTGTCGCTGGGCAACACAGACTTTCAACTCCCTCCAAAGATTTTCTATGGGTTTGAGATCTGGAGACTGGCTAGGCCGTCTAGGACCTTGAAATGCTTCTTACGAAGCCACTCCTTCGTTGCCCGGGCGGTGTGTTTGGGATCATTGTCATGCTGAAAGACCCAGCCACGTTTCATCTTCAATGCCCTTGCTGATGGAAGGAGGTTTTCACTCAAAATCTCACGATACATGGCCACATTCATTCTTTCCTTTACACGGATCAGTCGTCCTGGTCCCTTTGCAGAAAAACAGCCCCAAAGCATGATGTTTCCACCCCCATGCTTCACAGTAGGTATGGTGTTCTTTGGATGCAACTCAGCATTCTTTGTCCTCCAAACACGACGAGTTGAGTTTTTACCAAAAAGTTCTATTTTGGTTTCATCTGACCATATGACATTCTCCCAATCCTCTTCTGGATCATCCAAATGCACTCTAGCAAACTTCAGACGGGCCTGGACATGTACTGGCTTAAGCAGGGGGACACGTCTGGCACTGCAGGATTTGAGTCCCTGGCGGCGTAGTGTGTTACTGATGGTAGGCTTTGTTACTTTGGTCCCAGCTCTCTGCAGGTCATTCACTAGGTCCCCCCGTGTGGTTCTGGGATTTTTGCTCACCGTTCTTGTGATCATTTTGACCCCATGGTGTGAGATCTTGCGTGGAGCCCCAGATCGAGGGAGATTATCAGCGGTCTTGTATGCCTTCCATTTCCTAATAATTGCTCCCACAGTTGATTTCTTCAAACCAAGCTGCTTACCTATTGCAGATTCAGTCTGCCCAGCCTGGTGCAGGTCTACAATTTTGTTTCTGGTGTCCTTTGACAGCTCTTTGGTCTTGGCCATAGTGGAGTTTGGAGTGTGACTGTTTGAGGTTGTGGACAGGTGTCTTTTATACTGATAACAAGTTCAAACAGGTGCCATTAATACAGGTAATGAGTGGAGGACAGAGGAGCCTCTTAAAGAAGTTGTTACAGGTCTGTGAGAGCCAGAAATCTTGCTTGTTTGTAGGTGACCAAATACTTATTTTCCACAATAATTTGCAAATAAATTCATAAAAAATCCTACAATGTGATTTTCTGGATTTTTTTTCTCTCAATTTGTCTGTCATAGTTGACGTGTACCTATGATGAAAATTACAGGCCTCTCTCATCTTTTTAAGTGGGAGAACTTGCACAATTGGTGGCTGACTAAATACTTTCCCCCCCCCCCCCACTGTATCTAGTGAGAAGAGAGAGGACTTCTGCTGACTGCACCACTATCGGATTGCTTCATAGCTGATATCACAGCCTACCAAAGGGGCAAAGTGCCCGGGATTGTTTTTCAATCAGATAAAACACCTTCATGTAGAAACATTTTGACAACATGTTTGGATTGTGTTCTATTCTCCAGCCTTTGGTGGGTCCAGTCAGTATTCGATGGCAGAGTGGAGGGAGTGGGCAGGTCCAAGATGAGTGCTGACACGCTATTGAAGGAGACCCTGATCAAGCGGTCTCAACAGAAGAGGTTAACATCGCCGCTGAACTACAAGGAGAGGGTCTTCGTCCTCACCAAGACCAAGCTCACCTACTATGAGTTCAGAGCAGAGGTGAGAGTAGCAGACACATACACTGTAAACCCGAATAAGTTAGCAGAACTTAAAAAAAGTGCCACAATCAGTTGCCACAATTTTTTTGAGTTCTTAAACTCAAACATTTGAGTATATCATCGCTTATATATTTGGAGTTCATGTTAAATGTAATTTAAAATTATAATGAAATTAAATTTACTGATTTAAGCCAACTCAAACATTTTCAGTTTATGCTACTCAGAATATTTATTCATCTTTCTCATTGCAATAACTCAAGAGAACTTAATAATTTCAAGCATGAAAACTCAGGATATTTATGTTTCATTAACTTAACATTTATTAGTTTTTTTCAATCAATCTTCTGATTACCCATAACTCAAAAACATAGACTTGTTACAACTCAAAATCATTTACCACCAAACTTAAAATATTTGTGGCAACTGATTGCCTTAAAAATAATAAGTACTCTTGACTTAAAAGTAAAACAAAAAAACATCAAATTAAAAGTAAATATTTTTTCTATTCAGATGTTTAGTATAAACTTTTCTTGCCCAGTCTTTTAGCAAAAAAAAAATAGTTTTTTTATATATAATATATTATTATATATAATATATATATATATATTATTATTATCTATATATATCTATATATATATATATAACTCTATATATATATATATATATATATATATATATATACATAAAACAACATAAGTCTACTTCTGGGCATTTTGTTTATACAGTGTGGAGAACAAGTTTTTTGATACACTGCCGATTTTGCAGGTTTTCCTACTTACAAAGCATGTAGAGGTCTGTAGTTTTTATCATAGGTACACTTCAACTGTGAGAGACGGATCTAAACAAAAATCCATGAAAATCACATTGTAGGATTGTTAGTTAATTATTTGCATTTATTGGCATGACATAAGTATTTGATCACCTACCAACCAGTAAGAATTCCGGCTCTCACAGACCTGTTTAGTTTTTCTTTAAGAAGCCATCCTGTTTTCCACTCATTACCTGTATTAACTGCACCTGTTTGAACTCATTACCTGTATAAAAGACACCTGTCTACACACTCAATCAAACAGACTCCAACCTCTCCACAATGGCCAAGACCAGAGAGCTGTGTAAGGACATCAGGGATAAAATTGTAGACCTGCACAAGGCTGGGATGGGCTACAGGACAATAGGCAAGCAGCTTGGTGAGAAGGCAACAACTGTTGGTGCAATTATTAGAAAATGGAAGAAGTTCAAGATGACGGTCAATCACCCTCGGTCTGGGGCTCCATGCAAGATCTCACCTCGTGGGCCATCAATGATCATGAGGAAGGTGAGGGATCAGCCCAGAACTACACGGCAGGACCTGGTCAATGACCTGAAGAGAGCTGGGACCACCGTCTCAAAGAAAACCATTAGTAACACACTACGCCGTCATGGATTAAAATCCTGCAGCGCACACAAGGTCCCCCTGCTCAAGCCAGCGCATGTCCAGGCCCGTCTGAAGTTTGCCAATGACCATCTGGATGATCCAGAGGAGGAATGGGAGAAGGTCATGTGGACTGATGAGACAAAAATATAGATTTTTGGTCTAAACTCCACTCGCCGTGTTTGGAGGAAGAAGAAGGATGAGTACAACACCAAGAACACCATCCCAACCGTGAAGCATGGAGGTGGAAACATCATTCTTTGGGGATGCTTTTCTGCAAAGGGGACAGGACGACTGCACCATATTGAGGGGAGGATGGATGGGGCCATGTATCGTGAGATCTTGGCCAACAACCTCCTTCCCTCAGTAAGAGCATTGAAGATGGGTCGTGGCTGGGTCTTCCAGCATGACAACGACCCGAAACACACAGCCAGGGCAACTAAGGAGTGGCTCCGTAAGAAGCATCTCAAGGTCCTGGAGTGGCCTAGCCAGTCTCCAGACCTGAACCCAATAGAACATCTTTGGAGGGAGCTGAAAGTCCGTATTGCCCAGCGACAGCCACGAAACCTGAAGGATCTGGAGAAAGTCTGTATGGAGGGAGTGTGCCAAAATCCCTGCTGCAGTGTGTGCAAAACCTGGTCAAGACCTACAGGAAACTATGATCTCTGTAATTGCAACACAGGTTTCTGTACCAAATATTAAGCTCTGCTTTTCTGATGTATCAAATACTTATGTCATGCAATAAAATGCAAATTAATTACTTAAAAATCATACAATGTGATTTTCTGGATTTTTGTTTAAGATTCCGTCTCTCACAGTTGAAGTGTACATATGATAAAAATTACAGACCTCTACATGCTTTGTAAGTAGGAAAACCTGCAAAATCGGCAGTGTATCAAATACTTGTTCTCCCCACTGTACGTGGTGTTTTACTGTATTCTGTCCTGTCCAACCCCTGACTGTGGTCTGTCCTGTCCAACCCCTGCCTGTGGTCTGTCTCTCTGTTGGTTGTTAACAGAGAAAGTTCCAGAAGGGGTCCATCGACCTGCAGAGAGTCCGGTGTGTGGAGATTGTGAAGACTGAAGGAGGAGTCATACCCTGTCAGAACAAATACCCTTTCCAGGTGAGGTGTTGCATTTATAGCCAATATGATGAGTAGATGCCCCCCCATAGCCAATATGATGAGTAGATGCCCCCCCCATAGCCAATATGATGAGTAATGCCCCCCCCCCCATAGCCAATATGATGAGTAGATGCCCCCCCCCCCCATAGCCAATATGATGAGTAGATGCCCCCCCCCCCATAGCCAATATGATGAGTAATGCCCCCCCCCCATACCAATATGATGAGTAGATGCCCCCCCCCCCCCCATAGCCAATATGATGATTCCCCCCCCCCCCCCATGCCAAAATGATATAGATTCCCCCCCCCCATACCAATTATGAGTAATGCCCCCCCCCCAAGCCAATATAGGAAAAGGCCCCCCCCAAATCCAATATGAGTAGTAAACATGCCCCCCCCATAGCCAATATTGAGTAATCCCCCCCCCATACCAATAGAGTAGATGCCCCCACCCCCCCTCCAATATGATGAGTAGATTCCCCCCCCCCATAGCCATATGATAGATACCCCCCCCCCCAATGGGCCCCCATAATGAGTACACCCCCCCCCCCCATAGCCAATATGATGAGTAAGATGCCCCCCCCATAGCCATATGATGATAGATGCCCCCCCCATAGCCAATAGATGAAGATGCCCCCCCCCCATAGCCACCACTGATGAGTAGTGATGCCCCCCCCCCATAGCCAATGATGAGTAGATCCCCCCCCCCCTAGCCAATATGATGAGTAGAGGGCCCCCCCCCCCACCAATGATGAATAGATCCCCCCCCTAGCCAATATAGGTAGAATGCCCCCCCCCCTAGCCAATATGATGATGCCCCCCCCCTAGCCAATATGAAGTAGATGCCCCCCCCCCCAATAGCCCATAATATAAAATGCCCCCCCCCCATAAGCATCCCCATAGCCAATTAGACCCCCCCCCCAACCATATATGAGTAGATGCCCCCCCCTACCAATATGATTGATGGGCCCCCCCCCCCCCATAGCCAATCAATTAAGATGCCCCCCCCCCATAGCCAAATGGAGATCCCCCCCCACCAATATAATGATAATCCCCCCCCCCCCAATATGATGAGTAGTCACCCCCCCCCCCAATGCCATATGAGAGTAATGCCCCCCCCCCCATAGCCAATATGATGAAGATTGCCCCCCCCCCCATGCCATTTTGATGATGCCCCCCCCCCCCACCCAAATGATGAGATGCCCCCCCACCCCCCCCCCCCATACCAATATATGATAGATCCCCCCCCCCATAGCCAATATGAGTAGACCCCCCCCCCCATAGCCAATATATGATAGCATGCCCCCCCATAAGGCCCCCCCCCATGCCCCCCCCCCCATAGCCAATATGATGATAGATCCCCCCCCCCCCCCCCAACACCCAATATGATATGATTCCCCCCCCCATAGCCAAATTATGAGTGATGGCCCCCCCCCACCAATATGAGATAGATGCCCCCCCCATAGCCAATATGAAGAGATGCCCCCCCCAACCAATATGATGATAATGCCCCCCCCCCATAGCCAATATATAGAATGCCCCCCATAGCCAATATGGATAGATCCCCCCCCATACCAATTGAGAGATGATGCCCCCCCCATAGCCAAAGATAGATGCCCCCCCCCATAGCCAATTGAGAAGACCCCCCCCCATAGCCAATATGATGAGTAGATCCCCCCCCCCCATACCAATATGATGAGTCCCCCCCCCTAGCAATTGAGAAGATGCCCCCCCCACCAAATAGCCAATTGAGAGTAGATCCCCCCCCCATAGGAAACCCCCCCCCCCCATAGCCAATGATGAGTAATGCCCCCCCCCCCATAGCCAATTATGATGATCCCCCCCCCCCCCCATAGCCAATCCCCCCAAGAAGTAGATGCCCCCCCCCCAATCAGATGAATAGCCCCCCCCCAAGCATAGATGGATGCCCCCCCCCCCCCAATATGATGAGAAGCCCCCCCCCCCAAGCCAATGATGAGTAGTCCCCCCCCCCCCATAGCCAATATGATGAGTAGATGCCCCCCCCCCCATAGCCATCACAAAAATTTGAGTTGCCCCCCCCCCATAGCCAATATGAGTAGATGCCCCCCCCCCCACCAATATGATAGTAGATGCCCCCCCCCCCCCCCAACAATATAATAGCCCCCCCCCCCTAGCCAAATGATATGATGCCCCCCCCCTAGCCAATGACCCCCCCCATAGCCAATATGATGAGTAGATGCCCCCCCCCCCAATATGATGGTAGATTGAGCCCCCCCCCCAACCATATATGAGTATGCCCCCCCCCCAATGCCAATGATGAGTAGACCCCCCCCCCCCCCAATAGCAAGACCCCCCCCCCCCCATACAATATCCCCCGAAGTTATATGATGGCCCCCCCCCCCATAGCCATATGAATAGTGCCCCCCCCCCCCCCCAATAGATTGGGAGCCCCCCCCCATAGCCAATATGAGTTATGCCCCCCCCCCCATAGCCATTTTGGAGTAGATGCCCCCCCCATAGCCAATTTTTGGATAGAGCCCCCCCCCAATAAATAGACACCCCCCCATCCAATGAATAGATGGCCCCCCCCCCCCCAATAGCCAATATGTAGATGCCCCCCCCCCATAGCCAATATGATAAGAAAGATGCCCCCCCCCCCCACCCAAATATATAGTAACCCCCCCCCCCCATACCCAATTATAGTAATCCCCCCCCAAACCCAATATGATATAGGGGGCCCCCCCCCCCTGAAAATATGATGAGTAATGCCCCCCCAATAGAATAGATAGAATGCCCCCCCCATAGCCAATATGATGATAAAATGCCCCCCATAGCCATATGATGAGTAGATCCCCCATTGCCCCCCCCCCATAGCCAATAGATGAGTAATGCCCCCCCCCCCATAGCCAATATGATGAGTAAAATGCCCCCCCCCCCATAGCCATATGATGAGTAGATGCCCCCCCCCCCATACCCAAATTGATGATAATGCCCCCCCCCCATAGCCAATATAAATGAGTAGATGCCCCCCCCCCCATACCCAAATATGATGATGATGCCCCCCCCCATACCAATGATGATAGATGCCCCCCTCCATACCAAATTTATGATAAATAGATGCCCCCCCATAGCCAATATGATGAGTAGATGCCCCCCAACCCAAATTTTATGAGTAATGCCCCCCCCCCCCCCATAGCCAATATGATGAGTAAAATGCCCCCCCATAGCCATATATGAGTAATGCCCCCCCCCCATAGCCAATATGATGAGTAGATGCCCCCCCCATAGCCAATATGAATGAGTAGATGCCCCCCCCCCCCCCATAGCCAATATGATGAGTAGATGCCCCCCCCATAGCCAATATGATGAGTAGATGGCCCCCCCCCCATACCAATATGATGAGTAGATGCCCCCCCCCCCCCCATAGCCAATATGATGAGTAGATGCCCCCCCCCCCCCATAGCCAATATGATGAGTAATGCCCATGCCCCTCCCCCCCCATAGCCAATATGATGAGTAATGCCCCCCCCCCCCCATAGCCATATGATGAGTAGATGCCCCCCCCCCCCCCATAGCCATATGATGAGTAGATGCCCTCCCCCCATACCCAAATATGATGAGTAGATGGCCCCCCCCCCATACCAATATGATGAGTAGATGCCCCCCCCCATAGCCAATATGATGAGTAGATGCCCCCCCCCCCCCCCCATAGCCAATATGATGATAGATTGCCCCCCCCCCCATAGCCAATATGATGAGTAGATGCCCCCCCCCCCCCCATAGCCAATATGATGAGTAGATGCCCCCCCCCCCCCATAGCCAATAATGATAGATCGATGCCCCCCCCCATAGCCAATATGATGAGTAGATGCCCCCCCCCATACCCAAATATGAGTAGATGCCCCCCATAGCCAATATGATGAGTAGATGCCCCCCCCCCCCCCATAGCCAATATGATGAGTAGATGCCCCCCCATAGCCAATATGATGAGTAATGCCCCCCCATAGCCAATATTGATCGATACGATTGCCCCCCCCCCCCCCATACCCAAATATGATGAGTAGATGCCCCCCCATAGCCATATGATGAGTAGAATGCCCCCCCCCATAGCCAATATGATGAGTAGATGCCCCCCCCATAGCCAATATGATGAGTAGATGCCCCCCCCCCCATACCCAAATATGATGAATAGATGCGCCCCCCCCCCCCCCCATAGCCAATATGATGAGTAGATGCCCCCACATAGCCAATATGATGAGTAGTTTGCCCCCCCATAGCCAATATGATGAGTAGATGGCCCCCCCATAGCCAATATGATGAGTAGATGCCCCCCCATAGCCAATATGATGAGTAGATGCCCCCCCCATAGCCAATATGATGAGTAGATGCCCCCCCACATAGCCAATATGATGAGTAGATGCCCCCCCACATAGCCAATATGATGAGTAGATGCCCCCCCACATAGCCATATGATGAGTAGATGCCCCCCCACCATAGCCATATGATGAGTAGATGCCCCCCCACATAGCCAATATGATGAGTAATGCCCCCCCACTACCCAAATATGATGATAGATGCCCCCCCACATAGCCAATATGATGAGTAGATGCCCCCCCCCCCATACCCAAATATGATGAGTAGATGCCCCCCCATAGCCATATGATGAGTAGATGCCCCCCCCCCATACCAATATGATGAGTAGATGCCCCCCCCCCACATAGCCAATATGATGAGTATATGCCCCCCCACATAGCCAATATGATGATTAGATGCCCCCCCCCCCTAGCCAATATGATGAGTAGATGCCCCCCCCCCCATAGCCATATGATGAGAAAGATGCCCCCCCCCCATAGCCAATATGATGAGTAGATGCCCCCCCCCATAGCCAATATGATGAGTAGATGCCCCCCCCATAGCCAATATGATGAGTAGATGCCCCCCCCCCATAGCCAATATGATGAGTAGATGCCCCCCCCCCATAGCCAAATATGATGAGTAGATGCCCCCCACATAGCCAATATGATGAGTAAAATGCCCCCCCCCCATAGCCAATATGATGAGTAGATGCCCCCCCCATAGCCAATATGATGAGTAGATGCCCCCCCCCCCCCCAAGCCAATATGATGAGTAGATGCCCCCCATAGCCAATATGATGAGTAGATGCCCCCCCCCATAGCCAATATGATGAGTGATGCCCCCCCCCCCCCCCCACCCCCCTAGCCAATAATATGGAGTAGATGCCCCCCCATAGCCAATATTATGAGTAGATGCCCCCCCCAATAGCCAATATGATGAGTAGATGCCCCCCCCCCATAGCCAATATGATGAGTAGATGCCCCCCCCCCCCATAGCCAATATGATGAGTAGATGCCCCCCCCCATAGCCAATATGATGAGTAGATGCCCCCCCCCATAGCCAATATGATGAGTAGATGCCCCCCCCCATAGCCAATATGATAGTAGATGCCCCCCCCCCCATACCCAAATATGATGAGTAGATGCCCCCCCCCCATACCCAAATATGATGAGTAGATGCCCGCCCCCCCCCCCCCCATAGCCAATATGATGAGTAGATGTGCCCCCCCCATAGCCATATGATGAGTAGATGCCCCCCCCCCCCCATAGCCAAATATGATGAGTAGATCCCCCCCCATAGCCATATGATGAGTAGATGCCCCCCCCCCATAGCCAATATGATGAGTAGATGCCCCCCCCCCCATAGCCATATGATGAGTAGATGCCCCCCCCATAGCCATATGATGATAGATGCCCCCCCCCCCCCATAGCCATATGATGAGTAGAATGCCCCCCCCATAGCCATATGATAGTTAGGCCCCCCCCCCTCTCTCAACTAGGTGGTAAATGACTCCAGTATTCTCTATGTATTAGTCTGGGTGGTGTATTAGTGTATAGTGTTAATGGTGGTCTCGTTCTCCCTCGTTCTCTCTCGTTCTGTCTCTCTCTCTCTCTCTGTCTCTGTCTCTCTCTCTCTCTCTCGTTCTGTCTCTCTCTCTCTCTCTCTCTCTGTCTCTCTCTCTCTCTCTCGTTCTCTCTCGTTCTCTCTCGTTCTCGTTCTCTCTCTCTCTCGTTCTCTCTCTCTCTCTCTCGTTCTCTCTCGTTCTCTCTCTCGTTCTCTCTCTCGTTCTCTCTCTCTCTCTCTCTCTCTGTCTCTGTCTCTGTCTCTGTCTCTCTCTCTCTGTCTCTCTGTCTCTCTGTCTCTCTGTCTCTGTCTCTGTCTCTGTCTCTGTCTCTCTCTCTGTCTCTCTGTCTCTTCCCCCCCTCCCAGGTGGTGTATGACTCCAGTACTCTCTATGTATTTGCTCCCAGTTATGAGAGTAGGAGTGTCTGGGTCCAAAACATTAAGGAAGGTCAGTGACTAGCCATATTTACATCCTCTAGTTGTTGTATCCTATGATACGCTATGCTACGCTACGCTACGCTACGCTGTAAAATCTGTTGTTGTCATCATACAGATGTAGGATCTTAATTTGAGCCAGTTTGCTGCAGCAGGAAAATAATCCTCCAGCAACAGGAAATTTGAATTATTATGTGGATTATAATTAATGGTAGGGGTTTATAGATTGTAAAGTGGAAATTGCAACGTTTTTAGAAGCTTAAATTTTCTTTTTTAAATTAAACATCGAATACACTAAAAGTTTGCATTTCCTGCCGTGCAGGAATATTCTCAGCAACAAAAGAGTAATCAAATGAAGATCCTACATCTGTAGGTACAGTGAGGGGAAAAAAGTATTTGATCCCCTGCTGATTTTGTACGTTTGCCCACTGACAAAGAAATGATCAGTCTATAATTTTAATGGTAGGTTTATTTGAACAGTGAGAGACAGAATAACAACAACAAAAAATCCAGAAAAACGCATGTCAAAAATGTTATAAATTAGATAATAATAAATAAATAATAATTATTATTAACATAGTAGGCCTATGTTATATCTCTCCGGTAGCTGATTGACCAGATCTTTTCCTCTCTTGTGTGTTGTTGTTGTTGTTGTTGTTGTTGTTGTTGTTGTGTTCCAGAGATCAAGGAGAACTCTGTGATCGTTACTAAGTTCCACCCTCAGTTCTGGCTGGAGGGGGTGTGGCTGTGCTGTCGTCAGGCAGAGAAACTGGCCCCGGGCTGTGAGGAGTACAACCTGTTTGGAGACCGTAAGATCTGTCTGTCTTATCGTTGCCAGAATAATGTGGACACACCTTCAAAAATTATCTAGTAAATGATAGTTATGAAATAAACCGGAACTTTCCACTCGATAAATTGAAAAGGCACTCGAACAAAAAGCTCTGAGGAAGGCCTTGAGGCCGATATGTAAAGCTTAATAAAGAGCAGTGATGCTGGTATCACTGCTCTTGCTGGTATCACTGCTCTTGCTGGTATCACTGCTTTTGCTAGTATCACTGCTCTTGCTAGTATCACTGCTCTTGCTAGTATCACTGCTCTTGCTAGTATCACTGCTTTTGCTAGCAAGAGCAGTGATACCAGCAAGAGCATTTATACTGTGATACCAGCAAGACCAGTGATGCCAGCAAGACCAGTGATGCCAGCAAGACCAGTGATGCCAGCAAGACCAGTGATGCCAGCAAGACCAGTGATGCCAGCAAGACCAGTGATGCCAGCAAGAGCATTTATACTGTGATACCAGCAAGACCAGTGATGCCAGCAAGACCAGTGATGCCAGCAAGACCAGTGATGCCAGCAAGACCAGTGATGCCAGCGAGACCAGTGATGCCAGCGAGACCAGTGATGCCAGCGAGACCAGTGATGCCAGCGAGACCAGTGATGCCAGCGAGACCAGTGATGCCAGCGAGACCAGTGATGCCAGTTAGAGCAGTGATGCCAGTTAGAGCAGTGATGCCAGTTAGAGCAGTGATGCCAGTTAGGGCAGTGATGCCAGTTAGGGCAGTGATGCCAGTTAGGGCAGTGATGCCAGTTAGGGCAGTGATGCCAGTTAGAGCAGTGATGCCAGTTAGAGCAGTGATGCCAGTTAGAGCAGTGATGCCAGTTAGAGCAGTGATACCAGCGAGGGCAGTGATACTAGTTAGAGCAGTGTACAGCTTTCTTCTTTTTTCTCTTAAGAAATAATTAATATTTCTCCTGTTCCTGAGTTAATATTATATTAAGTTATGTGAGAGGTTATAGACCCACAGTCAGTGTCCAGATTTCAGCTAGGCTGCTATTCATTTGAACCCATTGACGTGCCATTTTGAAGTCCTGGTCTTGTGACTGTAAACTAGATGACTGTTCTGGCTCCTCCTTTCTCTTTATCTTCAACTCTCCATTTCGCAGCTTTTTCTTATTCAATTAAACTTCGAAGTTGTCCTTTTTGCCTCAGTGGGCTTTTTCTGCCCAAAAGCATTTGGCTGCGGATTATGAGTCAACCTGCGGGGGTTTGTGGGTTATGTGTCAACCCTGCATGTCACTAATACACACATACACACTCATGGGGACATGTTCTCTGTAGCTGTTGACTTTGAATAATGAAAGAACCATTCTCTTCTTCCTCTTTTCAGTTTCGAGGAAACTTCTTCCCCCCATACCTGGAGAGGAGGGCACAGGAAGTGTATGAACACTTGTCTAGTTCTCAGAAGGAATATAGAGCCTTGTAGAGATAAGAGAGAGAGAGGAGAGAGAGGAGAGAAGCTCTCGAGAGAGAGAGAGAGAGAGAGAGAGAGGAGAGCATAGAGATTCTCGAGCGCAGAGGGAGGCTATCTATAGTATCTCTATCGCGTAGCTCTCTCTCTACTCTCTCTTTCTCTTTCTAGATCCTCTCTCTTATCTCTCTCTCTCTCTCTCTCTCTCTCTCTCCTCTCTCTCTCTCTCTCTCTCTCTCTTCTCTGCTCTGTTCTCTCTCTCTCTCTCTCTGTCTCTCTCTCTGTCTCTCTCACACTCACAAACCCTTCTGAGTCATTCCGCCTCAAAAAGCACAACAATGAGGATTTCGACATCGACCATCTCAGATTGTTCTGAAATCGTTTCTGTAGATAGAAACAGATACGATTAGCATTCCTGAAACATTATTTTGTTGAAATATAATTTAATCTCAGAAATTAAGCCAATTGAGTGCACCCAAATTGGCAATTTTATGTATTTATAGGATTCATATAATCTTCAATAAAGATAGTACCTACCATCTGATTCCGGGCCATAATTCTTCCTAACAATGAGTAAGACATGAGGAATCCAATAAAATTATCAAAAGCCACCCATGGACCCCCCCACACCCCACACCAATCCCACCCCAACAACCAGTGTCTGTTCTCTATTTCTGACAAGTAGTATGGAGCTGCTGCTTGGAGTATTGCTGCCTTTTAATATATCCCCTGTGAATCTGGTGATGTGTTTTTTTAACAATTTATTTTCACCATGAGCAAAAGCAATTGGTTTTCTACCCAAAATTGCAAAGAAAATATTGTGATCCATTTAATAAACACAAGAGACCAGTAAAATTGATTTAAAAGGGTGTGGTAGCAGGAACAGCGGCATCTAGTGGTCAAAACCTGGGATTTTCACACTAATTTATGGTAAATAATGCACGTGACTTCAATGGCAAATTTTTCTGAACAGTGGGGGGAAAAAAACATCACCAGATTCACAGGGAATACATTACATAAGAGGAAGAAATAATACTCCAAGCAGCAGCTCCATACTACTTGTCAGACATGGAGAACTAATACTTTATACTGGTTGTTGGGGTGGGATTGGTGTGGGGTGTGGGGGGGTCCCTGGGTGGCTTTTGATAATTTTATTGGATTCCTCATGTCTTACTCATTGTTAGGAAGAATTATGGCCCAAATCGGATGTTCGGTGCAATCAATTAGCTTAATTTCTCAGAGATCTAATTATATTTCAACAAAATAATGTTTCAGGAATGCTAATATTATCTGTTTCTAACTACAGAAACGATTTGAGAACAATCTGAGATGGTGGGTGTCATGGCTTTGCTGAAATGACATGGAATAAACCCTTCTGTCTTCTAGAATGTATTTTGTAATATTCCTCTACGAATAATAAGCTATAACATAAACTAGTCATACCTAGCAACAAGACAAGCTGGAGCCAACAAAAACAGGACAAAGTTAACAAATGTCCCTTCTCCTCCCTTCCTCTTTCCTCCCTCCCTCCCCCAGTCTCGTCGGCCTCCCCCTCCCCCCCCTCCCGTACACGGCCCTGATGATGATGATGATGGTAGTGTTGTTGAGGAGGAAGAGGAGGTTGTGATAGCCCTGTATGACTTCAATGGTCCTGAACCACATGACCTCACTATGACCAAGGGAGGAGAATACGTCATACTGGAGAAATGTGACATCAACTGGTACAAGGCCCGCAACACATACGGGTCAGTACAGTGTGTATGTGAGCCTTTGCTTACTGTAATTTGGCCCCTGGTATAATCTCACTGTAATTTGGCCCCTTGGTATAATCTCACTGTAACTTGGCCCTGGTATAATCTCACTGTAACTTGGCCCCTGGTGTAATCTCACTGTAACTTGGCCCCTGGTAATCTCACTGTAACTTGACCCCTGGTATAATCTCACTGTAACTTGGCCCCTGGTATAATCTCACTGAACTTGGCCCTGGTTATCTCTGTACTGCCCTGTGTAATCCACTGTAACTTTGGGCCCCTGGTATAATCTCACTGTAACTTGGCCCCTTGGTATAATCTCACTGTAACTTGGCCCCTGGTATAATCTCACTGTAACTTGGCCCCTTGGTATAATCTCACTGTAACTTGGCCCCTTGGTATAATCTCACTGTAACTTGGCCCCTTGGTATAATCTCACTGTAACTGCCCCTGGTATAATCTCACTGTAACTTGGCCCCTGGTATAATTCACTGTAACTTGGCCCTGGTATAATCTCACTGTAACTTGGCCCCTGGTATAATCTCACTGTAACTTGGCCCCTGGTAATCTCACTGTACTTGGGCCCCTTGGTATAATCTCACTGTAACTTGGCCCCTTGGTATAATCTCACTGTAACTTGGCCCCTGGTATAATCTCACTGTAACTTGGCCCCTGGTATAATCTCACTGTAACTTGGGCCCCCTGTTATAATCTCACTGTAACTGGCCGCCTTGGTATAATCTCACTGTTAACTTGGCCCCTGGGTATAATCTCACTGTAACTTGGCCCCTGGTAAATCTCACTGGTAACTTGGCCCCTGGTATAATCTCACTGTAACTTGGCCCCTTGGTATAATCTCACTGTAACTTGGCCCCTGGTATAATCTCACTGTAACTTGGCCCCTGGTATAATCTCACTGTAACTTGGCCCCTGGTATAATCTCACTGTAACTTGGCCCCTGGTATAATCTCACTGTAACTTGGCCCCCTGGTATAATCTCACTGTAACTTGGCCCCTGGTATAATCTCACTGTAACTTGGCCCCTGGTATATCTCACTGTAACTTGGCCCCCTGTTATAATCTCACTGTAACTTGGCCCCTGGGTAATCTCACTGTAACTTGGCCCCTGGTGTAATCTCACTGTTAACTTGCCCCTGGTTAATCTCACTGTAACTGGCCCCTGGTGTAATCTCACTGTAACTTGGCCCCTGGTGTAATCTCACTGTAACTTGGCCCCTGGTATAATCTAGGTCTTTGGACCTTCACATTGCACATCTGAGTTTGTTTGTTTGTTTGTTGACATGCAGGGAGGAGGGCTACTCCCCAGATAACTCGCTGTAACAGAGCAAAGTGGGGTAACCTGGAAACAGTATGGCTGGAGTATGCGACAGTAATTGGCCTGGTATGCGAATCAGTACTTGGCATGCGTAGCATATGGTCGTGAGTATGCGACAGTCATGAGTTGTGTATGGATGTTGGTGAGATGCGTGGAGGAGGGTAATGCTAGCACAGTTGCGAGATAGAGTATGCCACAGTATGCGTGAGTAAAGTGCTGTGAGGCTAGAACGTGGTAAAGAACACCATTAGAACGTTATGTTGCTTTTACATCAGCACCAGGGTAGATGCTAAGAGGGATCCTTACCTAACCTTAACCCTTTTAAATGTAAACTTTAATAACCCCCCCCCCCCCCCCACCACCACCACCACGTTGCGATTTAAAACATTTTAGCATCCCCCCCCTCTTCAAAGCGGAGAGAAGTATTTTGAGTTTTATAGTTCATTTCCTGCAATTCTACACATTTTGCCATAAGGTGGAGAGAAATGTTTGCAGTTTTTTAAATATGATATCTGAGTGAGACTGACTAACAAAATTAAAGGGGGTCCCCCCCTGTTGGTAATTCAACGAAGTTTAGATAGCTGGCCGTTACACTAATTTACCAATCTAAAAAAAATGTTTATTCTGACATGAGCTAAGTGAGTGACTATCAATGACTGACGTAAGTAACACGAGACACTGCTGATGCACAACCAAAAGTCGACTGTCAGCCACTAGCTAGCCCATGTTGAATTATGAAATAGATTTGCCATCAAAAGGTTGCATTAGTAAACACACCCAAGAGGGAAAGGATTAGCCAGCTAACAACTCCATTAAAGTTGGCAAGTAAGTCAACCTGGTCTCAGAGCATTAGTGTGTTTATTCTGTAAGTAAATCCGAGACACTCAATTCGAAATAGAATAGTAAAATAAACTTACCACAGTAAATTGAGACCCCAACTAAGTAAAAAAAATACATATACAGGAATTCCCAAATAAAGGAACACCCCGAATTGCGGGCTGCAGTTGTAGCTCAATCGGTAGAGCGCGGCGCTTGTAACGCCCAGGGTAGTGGGTTCCGATCCCCGGGACCACCCCATACGTAAAAATGTATGCGCACATGACTGTAAGTCGCTTTGGATAAAAGCGTCTGCTAAATGGCTTATTATTATTATTATTATTATTATTAAGTAAACTCAGCAAAAAAAGAAACGTCCCTTTTTCAGGACCCTGTCTTTAAAGATATTTAGTAAAAATCCAAATAACTTCACAGATCTTCATTGTAAAGGGTTTAAACACTGTTTCCCATGCTTGTTCAATGAACCATAAACAATTAATGAACATGCACCTGTGGAACGATCGTTAAGACACTAACAGCTTACAGATGGTAGGCAATTAAGGTCACAGTTATGAAAACTTAGGACACTAAAGAGGCCTTTCTACTGACTCTGAAAAACACCAAAAGAAAGATGCCCAGGGTCCCTGCTCATCTGCGTGAACGTGCCTTAGGCATGCTGCAAGGAGGCATGAGGACTGCAGATGTGGCCAAGGCAATAAATTGCAATGTCCGTACTGTGAGACGCCTAAGACAGCGCTACATGGAGACAGGACGGACAGCTGATCGTCCTCGCAGTGGCAGACCATGTGTAACAACACCTGCACAGGACCGGTACATCCGAACATCACACCTGCGGGACAGGTACAGGATGGCAACAACAACTGCCCGAGTTACACATCAGACTGTCCGCAATAGGCTGAGAGAGGCTGGACTGAGGGCTTGAAGGCCTGTTGTAAGGCAGGTCCTCACCAGACATCACCAGCAACAACATCTCCTATGGGCACAAACCCACCATCGCTGGACCAGACAGGACTGGCAAAAAGTGCTCATCACTGACAAGTCACGGTTTTGTCTCACCAGGGGTGATGGTCGGATTCGCGTTTATCGTCGAAGGAATGAGCGTTACACCGAGGCCTGTACTCTGGAGCGGGATCGATTTGGAGGTGGAGGGTTCGTCATGGTCTGGGGCGGTGTGTCACAGCATCATCGGACTGAGCTTGTTGTCATTGCAGGCAATCTCAACGCTGTGCGCTACAGGGAAGACATCCTCCTCCCTCATGTGGTACCCTTCCTGCAGGCTCATCCTGACATGACCCTCCAGCATCACAATGCCACCAGCCATACTGCTCGTTCTGTGCGTGATTTCCTGCAAGACAGGGATGTCAGTGTTCTGCCATGGCCAGCAAGGAGCCTGGATCTCAATCCCATTGAGCAGGTCTGGGACCTGTTGGATCGGAGGGTGAGGGCTAGGGCTATTCCCCCCAGAAATGTCAGGGAACTTGCAGGTCTCTTTGTGGAAGAGTGGGGTAACATCTCACAGCAAGAACTGGCAAATCTGGTGCAGTCAATGAGTCCAGGAGATGCACTGCAGTACTTAATGCAGCTGATGGCCACACCAGATACTGACTGTTACTTTTGATTTTGACCCCCCCCCCCTTTTGTTCAGGGACACATTATTCAATTTCGGTTAGTCACATGTCTGTGGAACTTGTTTAGTTCAGTTGTTGAATCTTGTTGAGATGGGTGTGGCTTGATGACTGTTGCACTTCCGATTTCAAGGGCAATGGTCAAGGGCAGCCTTTTCCCACAATCTATAAGGGCACTCTCTGGTTGAATTTAATATTTCAGATTTCAATAATTTTCATTTTGAGTTTTAAGGTTGTTATTGTTTTTTTGATTTTTTATCAGGCGACCCCCTAGTATGGGAACGGCTTGACGGAAATGGTAGCAGAAGGTGAATGTTAAACGTTTGTTGCACACACATCCAGATGACGCCGCGTACCATGATGCTGTAGGTGCGATTTGAGGCGGTAGTCGTGGATGGATCAGAGCAACAGATAGAATTGGTCAATAGGTGTCATAATTACCTGGAGGAATCTGACCTGCAATAGGTAAACAAAGCCGCTGTACTTATATAAAAATGTATCACTTTGAAGTGACACAAATTACAAATTTAAGCTTTCACCTATCCATTTCGAGATACTTTTGGATATATAGTGTATGTGGTCACCCCTTCAAATTAGTGGATTCGGCTATTTCAGCCACACCCGTTGCTGACAGGTGTATAAAATCGAGCACACAGCCATGCAATCTCCATAGACAAACATTGGCAGTAGAATGGCCCTTACTGAAGAGCTCAGTGACTTTCAACGTGGCACCGTCATAGGATGCCACCTTTCCAACAAGTCAGTTCGTCACATTTCTGCCCTGCTAGAGCTGCCCCGGTCAACTGTAAGTGCTGTTATTGGGAAGTGGAAACGTCTAGGAGCAACAACGGCTCAGCCCTAAAATGGTAGGCCACACAAGCTCACAGAACGGGACCGCCGAGTGCTGAAGCACGTAGCGCGTAAAAATTGTCTGTCCTCGGTTGCAACACTCACTACCGAGTTCCAAACTGCCTCTGGAAGCAACGTCAGCACAATAACTGTTCGTTGGGAGCTTCATGAAATGGGTTTCCATGGCCGAGCAGCCGCACACAAGCCTAAGGTCACCATGAGCAATGCCAAGCATCGGCTGGAGTAGTGTAAAGCTCGCCGCCATTGGACTCTGGAGCAGTGGAAATGCGTTCTCTGGAGCGATGAACCACGCTTCACCATCTGGCAGTCTGACGGACCCTTAGTTCCAGCAAAGGGAAATCTTAACGCTACAGCATACAATGATGTTCTAGACGATTCTGTGCTTCCAACTTTGTGGCAACAGTTTGGGGAAGGCCCTTTCCTGTTTCAGCATTACAATGCCGCCATGCACAAAGCGAGGTCCATACAGAAATGGTTTGTCGAGATCGGTGTGGAAGAACTTGACTGACCTGCAGAGCCCTGACCTCAACCACATCGAACACCTTTGGGATGAAATGGAACGCCGACTGCGAGCCAGGCCTAGTTACCCAACATCAGTGCCCGACCTCACTAATGCTTTTGTGGCTGAATGGAAGCAAGTCCTCGCAGCAATGTTCCAACATCTAGTGGAAAGCCTTCCCAGAAGAGTGGAGGCTGTTATAGCAGCAAAGGGGGGAACCAACTCCATATTAATGCCCATGATTTTGGAATGAGATGTTCAATGAGCAGGTGTCCACATACTTTTGGCCAATGTAGAGTATATTAAACGATTTAAAGAAATTTGAGATTTTATTTGGGATTTACTGAGTCTGGCTTTAAGCGTTTTTATATGAACTAATGGATATAATAATTAATATTAATAAATAAAGTGTTGTGTGTTTTCAGCTGGTACAGTAAACATGTCAACCGGAACAAAGCAGAGGAACTACTGCGGAGAGAGGCGAGTTGATAGATAAATATATATATAATATATATATATATATATATACACAGTACCAGTCAAAGGTTTGGACACACCTACTCATTCAAGGGTTTTTATTTTATTTGTACTATTTTCTACATTGTAGAATAATAGTGAAGACATCAACACTATGAAATAACACATATGGAATCATGTAGTAACCAAAACAGTGTTAAAGAAATCAATATATATTTGATATTCTTCAAATAGCCACCCTTTGCTTGGAAAAGCATTTCCTCATGAAGCTGGTTGAGAGAATGCCAAGAGTGTGCAAAAGCTGTCATCAAGGCAGAGGGTGGCTATTCGAAGCTGTCATCAAGGCAGAGGGTGGCTATTCAAAGCTGTCATCAAGGCAGAGGGTGGCTATTTAAAGCTGTCATCAAGGCAGAGGGTGGCTATTTAAAGCTGTCATCAAGGCAGAGGGTGGCTATTCAAAGCTGTCATCAAGGCAGAGGGTGGCTATTCAAAGCTGTCATCAAGGCAGAGGGTGGCTATTCAAAGCTGTCATCAAGGCAGAGGGTGGCTATTTGAAGAATCTCAAATATAAAACATATTTTGATTTGTTGAACACTTTCTTTTTTTTTTTTTTGGTTACTACATAATTATTACATAGTTTTGATGTCTTCACTATTATTCTACAATGTAGAAAATAGTAAAAATTAAAGAAAAACCCTGGAATGAGTAGGTGTGTCCAAACCTTTGACTGGTAGTGTGTGCGTGTGAGTAACTCTGTCTCCCTCTACAGGATAAAGAGGGAGGGTTCATGGTAAGAGACTCCAGTAAACCAGGAACGTTTACCGTCTCCCTGTACACCAAGTCAGCAGGGTACGCATCAATAGGGAGGGGGGGATGGAGGGAGGGAGGGAGGGAGGGGAGGGGGGGGGTGTTACCGTCCTCTCTGTACACCAAGTCGCAGGGTACGCATCAATAGGGAGGGGGGGAGGGAGGGAGGGAGGGGAGGGAGGGAGGGGAGGGGGGGGAGTTTACCGTCTCTCTGGTATCACCATTCAGCAGGGTACGCATCAAAGGGAGGGAGGGGTGGGGTTTATCCTAGGTTATAACGTTTTAAATGTTATCTTGGGTCAGCATAATGTTTCAATTCTTCGTGTCAGTAAAACATTGTCTGAAGTTTGGATCAGTCAAACGTTGTATAAACGTTGTGTGACGGTCATAGGGAGGGGGGTGTGGCTATCAGGCATTACCACATCAAGGAGACCCCAGGCAGCCCCAGACAGTTCTACCTGGCTGAGAAACACCCACCTCCATACCTGACACCAATAGGGGTACCGACACTACAAGGGGGCAGGTGGAGGTCACCCTCACCTACCCCTACACCCACACACCCTTCCACATCGTATCTGCACAACTCCATCCGCCAGCCACACCACACATCTCCTACATCATCACCCACCCACCACCTCGCACTCATTCTGTACGCAGGGGGGAGGGCACAGGCTTGAGGTACACTCACAGGAGAACCGAAACCCAGACGCACGACAGAATCCATCACCCAGTCGCCCGTGAGATCACCACACTCACGCTGCAGGCGACCCCCACAACACACCACACGACACGCACACACGCCACCACAAGCGCAGCCACGCGACGCGACCACACACAGACGACAGACGCGACGCAGAACGCAAACGCCACGCAGACGAGACACGACGGGACGGGACCGACGACGCGACGCGACGCGACCGAGGACGACGCGAGCGACGAGACGACGCGACCACGCGCGACGCGACGCGACGCGACCGCGCGACGCGCGGACGACACGGACGACGACGCGACGCGACGCGACCACGGACGCGACGCGACGGCGACGCGACGACAGCGACGACACGGACGCGACGAGAGACGACGCGACGCGACGGACGGGACGGGACGCGATCGCCGACGACGCGACGACAGAGACGCGACGACGAACGCGACGGACGGAGCGACGGACGACGCGCGGACGAGCGACGGACGACCGACGCGACGAGGGACGCACGCGCGAGCGACGCGACGCGACGAGAGGCGACGCGACGCAAGCGACGCGACGCGACGCGACGCGACTGCGACGAGAGGACGACGCGACGGACGGACGACGACGCGAGCACGCGACGCGACGCGACGAGAACACGACGGAGACGCGACGAACGACGACGCGACGCGACGAGAGACGACGAGACGAGCGACGCGACGACGAGGACGACGCGAGGGCGACGCGACGCGACGAAGAGACGCACGCGACGCGGACGCGACGGACGAGAGACGACGACGCGACGCGACGCAGAACGAGACGCGACGGAGAGACGACGCGACGGACGCGCGACGAGAGACGACGGACGGACGCGACGCGACGAGAGACGACGAGACGCGACGCGACGCGACGACGACGACGACGAAGGGACGCAGACGACGCGACGCGACGAGAGAGACTACGACGGGGACGCGACGCGACGCGACGAGACGACGAGAGACGACCGACGAAAACGAGACGAGGAAAGACTACTGCGACTCTACGAGAAGACGACGGACGCTGACGCGACTAATACGACGACGACTACTCAGACGCGACGATAAAGTACGACTACATCGACTTACTACTCTACGCTACTCTACTAGATTACT